ATAACTGTGGTGTCCGGGCCAGATTCCGTGCATCTCGACTAATTCCACAGGATACCTGCCACCTCGCATCAGTAACAGGTATCATCAGGTAACTCTATCCATTAAGTCTTGGACATATGGGAAGAATGTTTTTTGCCTCCGTGGGATTTGAACAGATCTCATGGTTCTCACCCACTTCATTGACCACTAGGCCACACCCTTGGGTGCAATTGGGGCTCTCTTTGTTTCGATGAAAGCCTACTCGCATTCCAGGGGGAACTTTTTTGACTATTTCCCTTCATCAAAGCCGGAAGCAAAGGGCGAAACCTCCACAACTAGCAAATAAAGGGATCAAGGGCTCTTTACTAATATAATGTAGTATGTGACACTTCCTTGAAGAAAGCGTACTCCCATCGGCGTTCTAGTACATAAAGAAGTTAAGGCTAGTGACATCAGCTAAATTGGCCTTTGTGAATAAAAATATAGGGGCTTATTGACAAGTTCTGGTGCAATTGGACAACTAGCATTGGAGGTTTGGCAAATTAAACCATCAGAAGAATAGGCAGGGCAGAATAGAGCCTTTTTGTCACTAGCGATAGAAGTTAAAACTTCAAGGACAATGTTGACACATCTTCAAAGTACTCTGAGAATAGTATCAAAACCTCAGGCAGTATGTCGAATTGTAACCTGAGTGGTTCTGTCGAAACTAACTACCCAACTAGAAAGTTTACCTGAGTACACCAAGTCTTTGAATATCAACAAACTGCGAGGCATCAATACGATAGAAAATGGATGGCAACTATCCAGCTGTTCACCAGAATTCATCACAGCAGGCCCCGGGTCAGAAATTTTGTCGTCAACACCGTTTCCATGTGTACTGCTGCTCAAATTAGGATGTGGAGTGAAATCCATAACCACAGGAGATCCAAGAGAAAGAATTGCCACTACAGGATAATAAGCTGGTCCATCTTGATGCGGCTGCAGAACAGATGCTCTTGTCAGAAAAACTAATTTAATGTTAAGCAAAGCCAAGGAAATTAATCCTGATTCACTAATATAGCTAGTATCTTGTTTTATCAGCTATGAGCCTATGACTTAAATTATCAACAATTTTACAAGAACTAGCAGTTGCAATACAGACCTCCTAACCATAACTAACATGATAAGCACATTGACTTTATATATAGACAGAGTCAAAATGTTTTAAACTTTGTAAGGAAGTAGGTACTACAAAACAAAAGAGAATATAGGAACAGATATTTGAGATAAAAATGGAATGGGGGAAAGGAGGAAGAAAAAGAAGAATAAGCAGCAAATGAAATGAGCGAAGCAGCTTACACGAGTTCAGAACAAACCATTATTCCTTGGTTAGGAAGGTATTCATTGATAAGCACATGATTAATTGATGAAGGAAATAACCCTGATTTCTCATTTATTCTCTCTGTAATTCTAGTTAACCAAGGAGGCACTGAAAACAAGAAAAGAAAAGTGATATAATAGGTTTTGACTAATACGGATAAATGGCTCAAAAAATATATAGATACATATGACATAGATATTTAACTAACTGCATTGGTCCAGTACGAGAAAGATACGTTCAAATTTTCAAATAGGAACAGTTTAAAATATAACTAAGAAGATTCCAGAATATAAATATCTCAACAACAACAGCACCTCTTTGTCAAGATAGTTTGGGAAAGAAATGGGCAAAGATGCGATATTGAACTAATATTTGCATCATTCAGGTTCCTTTTTAATTCTTCATGCATGTCTGTGGGTATTTTCTTGTGGAGGCATGGCATGCTTCATTGTAAACCAAGCAGCAACATCTACAAGGTCAGTGCAGTGTTAAAAAAAGCGTCCGCTTCCTCGTTTTAAGCGAGAAGCGAAACGGAGCGATGGGTTGGTCTCTACCCCAACTAAAAGTGGCTCAGGTACAGAAAAGCGACCGCTTCTCTCTAAAAAGCGAGAAGCGGTGAAGCGGTCGGTAGCGGAAGAAGTGATCGCTTCTTGAATTAAAAGGCCCAAACGAGTCTTTTTCAATTAAAAGACCCAAATCGTTGAGTCTTATGTTTTAGACACTTCTTCAACAGCAAACTAGGGTTTTTAAACCAGCCTTTTCTTCCTCAAAAAACCAGCGATTTCTTCCTCACGTGAAGCAACAATTTGTTCAAGCAAACTAGGGTTTTTCTTCTTCTTCAACATTACAACAACAACTTTCAAGTTTCAACAGGTATGTTTTTATTTTCATTCTTCTTCTTCTTCTTCTTCTTCTTTTTCTTTTTCTTTCTAAACGTCCAAAAAGCGCCAAAATGCTGGCGAATTTTTTTCAGAAAAATTCTGCCACGTTTCTGCCCAAATTCTGCCCAGATTCTGCCCAATTGATGCTACTCTTGACAATCTTGTAGAAGAATAGGATGCTCATTTTGTGCTTTAATTGATGCTACTCTTTAGTTTTTTAATTCTAGTATTGAACATTTGCTTACAATTACACGTGTTGTCTATGCCGTATTTATTTTAATTTTTTTTTTAAATTCCGCTTCACTTCAAAAAAGCGGGCGCTTCGCTTCTCGCTTTTCGTGAAATGGGGGTTGTCACTTTTCCTCGCTTCATGCTATTTTTAACACTGGGTCAGTGCTTGACTAGGATGGAATTAACATCTAATCCATTAACAAAAGCTTTCTTGTTTGAGAACATTGTACCAGAAGCTAGAACAAACACTATGCCATATATGAGTAGTCAGTATCCAATATGTGTGATGCCGGATTTTCAGAACCAAGTTCATGCTTCGGGAAGGCTGAAGTAGGTATCTGTAGCACAAAACCTCAGGTTCATTTTCCGTCAAATTACTAGAAAATACACCTAACTTCATATTATAACAAAAAATGGCCAACATATTTAAGTTTTATCCGATCTAGCCTACATTGTACATATTTTGAAAGCACCATCAAAAGCATCATCTAAAAAATCACTGTATTCTTGCAACCACGGCTTCTAAAAGCTATGGAGTTAAATTTAGTTGGTCAAGTTTCCCATTTCGTTTGATGCTACGACAAGAAAAACTTACTGCAAAAACTAAGAATATTTTTGTTTTGCATCCTCGTTGCTTTTGAGATTCTTCACGATTTAGTTTTTTAATTTCTTTTCTATAATATTTGAGTTAAATTTTTTATTTGAGTCTTCATAGATTGTTAGTTGTTTGGATTGGGTGTCGTTCCAATTGATTGAAAACATTAAGAGGAGCTCAAAACTTATGTTTGAAGTGATTTATGGTAGATTTGAGCTAGATTTGTGTTAAATTTCAGAAGAGTCTTAAGGAAGAAAATGAAGTCAGTTTTTGTATAATATTGTATATGGGTGTATAAACACCTCTACACCTATATACATAATATACATTGGCTTGTATAAAAGTGCAATTCTTATTCAAAACCAATATATTACATGACTTCAAATTTTTTAAACAACCTCCTTAGGCTATTTCTAACAAGTCTAAACAATACTCATTCCAAATTTTTCACAAAATCATATTCAAAATTTTATCCCACTTATTTAAACTTGTTCAATAATGGTGAATTACCTTAAAAATCTAGTGTTCACCACCCAAATGGATTTGATTTGTTGAACTAATGTTTGAGTCACACTTACTAATTCGGAGATTGGATTAGAAGCTTAAACTTTAAAAAGAAAATTGAATAGCAATTTCAAGAACTTATTTGGAGTTGGATGTTGAATCTTGGCCTATTATTTTTGGGCTACAGCTTTATAAAATTGTACATTGGCCACATGATTGCAAAATTGGCTACAGATTTATAAAATTGTACATTGGCCACATCATTTTCAACCACTCTTTTAGCAGCTTTACTAGCCATGTTGACGAGAATTTTTCCAACAAGTTGACAACCAGAACTTTTTCGGCAACTCTTCGACGATATTTTCGGTAATTACCCAATGACACTATCAAAAAATATTTACTTTTTAAATTTCAAACAAGTAAACTCAAGCCACAATGAGTTTATGGAGACAGTTAGAATGTTAAATGTTAGTATTAATATGTTTGAAGTTAAGTTCCCAAGTTTGTCATTTGCCTAATCGGACAAATATTATATGTGAATTGTGTTTAACACATATAAACAGGTGTTTCTCATCAAAATATCAAGTAAATCAAATTATATCCCTTCTTCTCTTACTTCCCCACGATCCTGATAAAGAGATCACCAATAAACAAAGCCCTCCAATGTCAAGATTGATTAGAGAGAGCAATCAATTACAGAATAGTTTTGGTTTATGCTTTGTCCAAATATACGCTATATCAATTCTTTGCACACTTGAAGCCCCAAATGCTTAACCATTAAAACCTTATTGGCTGAAAAACAAGCAATGAATTATGCTTTCCTAGTGTGTTGCATGTAACTTATGGAGGAAAGAGATATTAGATGCTTTAAGGGTTTGAAACTTTGAATAAGCATATCCCCAAACTGAAGTTCCAATGCCTTAGACAACTATCTTGTTCCATAGAATATGGTGCAAATAGGGTTGAGGATCTTGTATGGTTCATGGGTTTAGTTAAATTGTAATTGGGTTTCTCTCTCCTCACATTTCTTGATAATTGATGCTCTTAGAAAATCTGGTGTATCCGGATGCAACTCCTTGGTGCCCATCGAAGAAAATCTCTTTTACAAATTAAAATAAAAAAGAACTAGTTGACTGAGTATTGGAGCACAAAAAAAATAATCATGTAGTGCAAATAAAAGTCTTCCCATTCCTCTTATGAAAGAACAATGCAGAGAGAAATGAAAATGGGTTCCATCACTCTACATGTACAAAAAATGCACCAATTCCAACTTATGGACTTGTAGAATATGTGGTGCTCCATCAACTACGATTCACATGGGAAACAGAGGGGAAGGATGAGAAAGTTGGGAAACAGAGGAGGACAAGGAATGCTGTTCAGGGAAATTAGAATTTAGATGATACAAGGAATGCTGTTCAGGGAAATTAGAATTTGGATGATCTCATTTAATAGTAGGAAAGGAAAAGCTGACCCAAAGGGTCATACCAAACTGGGTACAGGGAGTGGAGAGTAGGGTTGGTATATCTTCAGACAAAAAAAAAAATAACTCTAGAGTCAATTACTCGAAGCGTGTCAAGAAGGAAGTGGACAAAAATGAAATGATATCGGCTAGGGGAGAGTAGGAGGGGTGTTGATATAATAAGAGATGAGGAAGTCGGAAACTCTGGCTGTAAAGAAGGGAATTTTTCCATTGCTATGCTGTTTTATAGTGAAGGGATTAGTATGGCGTTGGTTTTATAGGGGTTCATGCAGTAGGAGATGGGTCAATAATAGAATTTTGGGATGAATTCTTTGAGTTTATTTCTATCGTAAGCCTCCTAGGGTGATAAGGGGACTTTAAATAATACAGATTTCTGAAGGAGAGAGTGGGATGTGAGACCTATTCCAGAGATATACGGAATTCACTGAGTTTTAAAACTCTCAGCAACTGGTGTCTATGTTCACTTGGGAGGTGCTAAATCCACATAATCCAAGGCGGATGAACTAAAATCTATATTAGACTCTATACATTTCTCATTTTACAAACTAGGAGAAAATTTCTTAGATATTATTCACGCTTCACTACGCAGACTAGTGTCGATTCATATGCCAATCCTTCTGGATTGTAGCTGATGTAGAAGACCTAAGACACAATTCAAACTTCAAACTTGAAAACATGTGATGCATATGCGGATAATTGCTAAAAGTATAGTACATTAATGGAAGGATGTCTTGTCAAAGGCACTCGGTTTACTTGCATTGCAAAAACATTTAAAAACCTTGAAAATGATCTTAGAACATGGAATATGGATGTGTTAGGACTTAGGAGGGAGGAGATAAACTGAGAGAAATGGATGAGATTGAAGAATTAGAGAGGAAGGACCAACACGGATCTAACCAACAGAGAAAAAAAAGAGGAAAGAAGAAGTGAAGAATAACTAATGACCCGCAGCTATTGCTCAAGAATCCAATCCGAGACAAAAATGTAGAGTACCATGGTTGAAAGAAAAGCATTCCAACACAAAGTTGCTACTCAATTAATAGAATGCGAAGCTTTACAAATGCAATGGAGGTTGTAGGAAGAGTATTTGAGGGGAAGGAGGAGTTAGGAACCAATATAGGGCTTCTACATACAACACTATAAGAACCTAGGTAGGAAAGAGTAGTTGTTAGCAATATTGGAAGGGAGAGGATGAATTAGTTAGAAATGGCGTTCTCACAGTCACAGAATCAAATCTAGGAGGCAATCAAAATCTATTGGGCATAAGCTTTGAGTCACATAGTTTATGCACGGCATTCTACCAGCATTGTTGGAAAATGGTCAAAGATAATATCATGAAGGTAGTTCATACTTTTCATATCACTGGAAATCTGAAAGGAGCCGTAACTTAACTCATCTGTATGGGGCTTCGAGCATT